ATATTAAATAATTAGTGGTAATTGCATGCTGAAATAGTCCTATGTATATATTAATGTGAGCCTGTTTAGGCCATAGACACAGTGACTTAGTAATTGCTGTATTAACAAAGTTAATAGTCAAAGTAAAGAATGATACTTGTTTGCTGATATTGAGATATTGTTCCTTAGCTGTAGTCCTTGAATAGGCTGAACATTTCCAAAACCAGATGAATATTCTATAGTTACATTAAAAAAAAAAAAAAAGAGTTCCCTGAATTTTCTAGATTCATTACAGAAGATGGATTCTTGAGATTCATGAGCTTTCCAGAATGTTTTTCTTCATAAAATTTTAGGTTTTTTTTAAAAAGAAAAATTCTTTACTTTTCACATCTAAAGATATCAACATTTACAATTGACCACTTCTTATAATGATTTCTAGAAATTCAATTTTCAACTTGAAAAATAAACTGAGAAGGTGAGGTCGATGTTACCTGTATTACCTGGAATTTGGCTACTTATTAAGTCTCACAGAATGAGAAAATGGGAAAATAATTATCTGTCTGGAAGAAGATATCTGTTCTTGCATTGCTGCTGTTCATTTGTCTTTCTAATTATTTTTGAATCATCATACTAAAATGTACAGATACAAAAATCACAGTGGAGTAAATTATATCTGCTATGCTTACCTGAAAAATATGGTTTTTAGTTCATCCCCATATGAAGACATATCTAGGCTCAAAGAAAGTATTGATAAGGCAAGGGTGTGATTCAGTAATATGAAAATGACACGGGAGTCACAGCAGACAATCATAAGAAGCCAAGACCCCAATCTGATGCTGTATGCAAGAGAACAATATAATTCCTGCATGCTTACATCTACCAATATCAAAAAAGAAGTAAGCAGATGGAATTTTCTCAGTGTCACATGTAACTGCATTAAAAGATGTCACATGAAAGGGGGAGATTTACCCAAACCCTTTGTGTTTCATTAGTCTGTCAGTACCCCCAGAAAGGCAAGACCCTTGTGCCCAACCAGTGTGTCAGCATCCCGTTATGGGGACCCTTCACTGAGCAGTTCACTAGATCAGGAGGGTGGTTTCACTGACTTGTTCAGGGCCATATTCCAGACAGAGAAACACCTTCTTGGGTGTTTACCCACTGCCAATAACTGCCAGTGCCCTTGAAGGACTCACATTACCAGTTTATAGGGTAACACTCTTTACAGGTTAAGATTCAAGAATGGTTGGTGACAGTATCTGACTGCAAAAATATATTCAAAGCAATATACTAGCTCAAAGCAATATACTAAGCACCTCTAATCCCCAATAAAAGCTAGTTTGAGATAATGATTCAGCATGCATAGAGTACAGTTCTTATCCCTGTAGAGGAGATGACGGGTTCAGCTTGTCGACTGATCCCAAATGTTACGTTGGAGTCTTCCCTGACTTCTCCCCATTCTTAATTCACTTTTATAATACTCTGTTATGTTTAGGTGGAGCTTGAGTGACTGTAATCATATATCTTACTCAGTGAGTGGTGATCATACTGTGGGGGCAGGTGTATCAGGACAGTACCTGAGATAACCTGGGGATGGAGACATGTATCAGTCCAAGGAGAGCGATTTTGCCATGGTTGCTGATTCACCAGCAGGATATCTTCCTTTATCTCCCTTAGTTTTCAACTGCTGTGTGGCTTATCACCTAGAAAGTACCAAACTGAATTTGAAACACATTTAGCTACAGTTTTGCCAGTGTTTTTAATTGCAAAGGTAGCTATCTTTCTGTCAAGTTTTTTTTCACTTAGCTGTGAAAGGACACTTTCTTTTAACACCTTTTTTTTAACAAAAAGGGCTCTTCAGACACCAGTAATAATAACAAAGTCCAAATAAGAAATGTTTTTCAGCCTCCTTGGAAAAGTTTTCTTGATTGCCTGTTCCACGTGGGGATTAACCAAAGAGTGTTCACCTGTTTTCAAAATGGAAAAATGAGAAAATAAGATAGATTGGACATTCAGGATAGGCATAAATATTATGTGAATTGGGACGTGAAAGGGGAAGCTTATTCCTAGTCTCAGGTTTAAAAGTGAAAGTCACACCATACAAAATAAGGGGGCCACAACCTATCCTGCTTTTGTTATTCTGTTTCTGGTCTTGCTAACCTTAGAATGACTGAAAACACAGTATTTTGGCCAGTCATCTGAGAGAAAAGGGTTGGGATGCAAATATTAGCTCTGAATCTTTCTTTTTTCCCTCCTGCTCCCTCCCCAGCACAGGGGAAGTTATCTTTATTGAAGCATGTCTATTTTTTGCACAAACTTTTGGCTTTGAGCAGTTGACATCTTTGTGACAGAAAGCTATTTTACCAGAAAAATTCTGATCAACTCCAATATTGATCTTTTGGAAGGCAGTAGCAGGACTGCAATTCTATCAGGAATTCAATCAACAAATATAAAAGTAGAGAATTTAAGGCATACATTTTCAAATGTTTTCTCTCTTCTGAGAAGAGAATTCACATCTCCTGTCACCTTTAGTCTTGCTTCTACAAATAAGCCAGATTTCTTCTTACTTCAAAATGTCATTATGCTTGTTCTCCAGCTGCTTTAAGCCAGCAGAGTGAAACATCTCCGTATTTTGTAGAAGAATATATAAACTTTGCTATTTGAATCTTTCTGCCTGGTTCAAAATAGTCTTTATATATGATCTAGTATCATAACAATTCTTTTGTCACGTTAAGATAAAATGACAACTTCTATATGTAAAAGGCCAGATGACTCTTTCCATTTAAGCTTTTGCAATTGTAAATATGGAGCATGAGAGCTAAGATACAGTTATTAATACAGAGAGAAGTGCATTACTCTGTTATTGTATTTGCAGTGCAGGAGGGCTGACGTGGTGGGTAGCACTGGTACAATGTAGGGATAGATATCAAAATGTTCACCACTGCATGTCTTTGACTGTGCACTCACATTCTGAAATGGGAATAGAAATTGGCATGCAAATAGATTTATTATCTTTCAGAATAACTTGCTTTTAACTCTTGATTTCTTAACATCCATTGCTGTAGATTCCTGCAGCTGCAGTTATGCAGTTTGTAAAACCCTGCTCTGCTCAGATACACAACTTTAAAAAGGAAACCAATTGCTCTTCCCAATCATCAAGATAGATTTTTCCAGTAGAGCAACTGTTTTCCTTCCCTTTATCCAGCCTCTGTTTCTCTTTTTTGTTTGGTGCCAATTTTCAACGATAAAAACCAAGTAAAATTGTGATGCCATCAACTGGCTCAATAACAAACACTGGTGTCTAATACTGAAAAGTTTGACCTCATTCAACTAATGCTTAACATGGCTGAAACATGGAAAATGGTGTTTGTAATGAGTAGGAAATTGGAAGAAATGTTAGCTACCAGATCAGAGGAAGAAGTAATAGCATTTTAAAATTGTTTTTTTCTGAAACTAAATTGTATGGCATCTATGTGCATGAACGTGTGAATAAATGGCTGTACATTGCCCTGCGTGGCTCTAAGTCCTCGGCTTGCTACCTCTGCCAGTTCTCATCATTGTATTTCTGATGTTGTAAAGAGCTCATAAGTCTAAACAGGTTTTTTTGGAGAAGAGGTAAGTGGATAAATTTACACCAGACCTCTGTTATGAGGTTAGAGAGAGTCCTGACTTGTTGCAGTGAGATATTTTAACGCAGAAAGAGTCAAAATTGAAAATTGTGCTCTTAGTGTCCTCTGGAGTCACTGTGTCCCTAAAATGGCAGGATTGTTAACAGTTTTCCCTGAACTCACAAGAAAGAGCTCTGTAGCAGCCTTTTTGGCAAGGCTCAGGGATGCCATATTCCCTGACAGGTCCTGTGTAATTTAGCTGACAAATTTGTCTGCCTACCTTGTCTAGAGCTGGACATTTTCCTTTTTTTGGCTGATATTTTAACAAAAATATGAAACATAACTTTATTACAAAAATTGCTAGGAAAAATTTATTTCAAATTTTAAAATTAATTATTTTAGTGATTTTGCTTTGAAAATGTTTTAGACTTCGTATTTTCAACAAAACTGTTTATTTGGCAAAATAGGTAGGGTTAGTCCTTAAAGGTATGTTATGCAATTAGTTGGAATTTCTAACCATCTCCAGCACACACATCTATGGATTAAATAACATTCCTAGAAGGCTTCACTGAGCTTTTTTACACTGATCTGGCATATTTGCTTGTTCAGATTATTCTTAAATGGTGCTGTACATTCAAATGAACCCATCATAATTTCAACGAATACCAAAGCAATTAATAATGATTAAACACTTACATTAAATGTCATTCTCTGTATTTCAGTTAGAAAAAAAATTCTGGCATCTATTTTTATTTGAAGAGAGTCACATTGCCCACAGAAAATTTCAAGTACATACTCAAAGTTTAGCAATTAGCATAGATCAGAAGGCCAGGAACAGAACAGACAGCGAGAAGTGGTTTGGAATTTTGGTTATTTTATGGGAGGCATGTGCTTTCTCAAGCTGTTTCTTTCCTGGAGTCAAGATGAAAATCAACATGTAAAAAAAGTCTTTTCCAGCTTTTTGAAGAAGAGATGAGAGAGGTTTCTTTTTTGCTGTTGCCCCATTTGGTTATGAAAACCCAGAATGGAAATTTGAGTGCAATCATTTTCCCCAGGTCTTTTGGCAGTCCTGAGGCATCAGAAGATTTTTTTTCTGTTTAGGTTGTCACAGTGGGCATTTCAGCTGTCACTTCAGAACCAGGATGTAGGGCTAATGGAGGGCCCCTTAGTCTCCCTTGCCCAATTTCTTTTGTGACCAAACATATTTTTATATACACAGACACTAATAGTGGGGAGGGAAACAGGAGACAATCAGAACAGTTTCATATCTCTCTGATCATATAAAATGTAATAAGCCTTGTGGTGGGATTGAAAAGAAGGTGAGGATATAAACATCCTTCAGGGGCAGTTTGTCACTGATTTATGACAAAATCTCCAAAAATCAAATTGAAATGGCTTCCATTTTGCGTTTTGCAGGCCCCACCATAATAACAGCCTCATCAACTTTCAAAGGACAAGAGGTAAGAGTGGTAAGTTCAATACTTGTACAGCAGCTCAATATATCTAACCACAAGACTATTGAAATTATTCTACTTTTTTGGCATGATTGTGGACTAGAAGGACATGGAATTACTGACCTTCCTAATAAGATTCATTATTTCTGATAAAAGGAAATTATTTATCCCTCACTGCCTGTTTTTCATGGTTTAGGAATGATACTTCCCAATTCAGTGCCCTCACCAAGACTCTCAAAACACTCACCACTCTCTCTCGCTGCCCCATTTTCCCATCCCCCTCCCTGCTGCAGCGGGATGGAGGGGAGAATTAGAGGTGCAAAAGGCAAAGATGACAGGCTGAGATAAGAACAATTTACTGGAAACAGCAATGAGATAAGAAAATGAACAGTAACAGCAACAATGTATGACAGAGGCTATAAGAAGAGAAACTATTCACACAGAAAAAGCCTTCCCGATAATAGACAATACTGGATGGATCACGTCACCGTGTTTTCTCCACTGGAAGGAATCCCTTCTCACTGCAAGAGTCCCTTTTCCCAAACCCTGACAGTGAGGTGAGGTGATATAGAATAACCTCTGTGTCCTAGCCATGCCCCTCCCAGCTATGGCAAAAAATTAACTCTGTCCTGGCTGGAACCAGGACACCCTTTTACAAGCTTGGTGGTGTTCATAATTATTACCCAGAGTCTTTTATCACACAAGATAGTCTGCCTTGCTAAAGAGCACCTGATGGAGAGGGTGCAGAGCAGATAGGCAAATGGATAGAGCAATTTCATCATGGTCCCTTCTTGCATGGTAGCCTTTATGAAGGAAGAAGCACACTTCTTTTTTTTCTCCCCTTTTTCTCAGGGTATAGCAAAGTGACATTAATCTGCCATGATTGAGATATCAGTTTGGTTAGCAGGCACGAAGCAACCTTAAGCAAAAGGGCAGAACAGCTTGAGAACTGTTGGTTGTTAGTGTTTGGTAGCAACCTGATCGAGAAGCCCTGAAGTGGTTCAAATCACAGACTGCCTGCTAAGTGGTCTTCGGGGAGGCTGCTCTGCATCTAATCCCGCTGAGAGAAATATGAACGGGAGTAGACTGGAGATCAATGTAGGTGCCTTGTTAGGGATATTAACTACCTCACCTTCACTTCTAACTCCTGCAGCATGACAACTCTATTCCCAGAGGCCCAGAGGATTCTGCTGGGGTCTGTAGCGAAGTCTGTTGAAAGCAGGAGAATTGACATTTTGCTTATTGTCTCGACTGCTTTGACATCTCACAGGCAGTACAAATGATCACTTATGTAAAGGTTATTTGAATAAAGGTAACATCCCTTGGTGTGACTTAACTGTGAAAGTATTCCAGTTCCCTTTAGAAGTCCCTCTGAGATTTCCAGTATCCTAAAATGTGCATGTATTTCTAATTTGCCTGTAGGCTAAGAAAAAGCTGGAATCTAAAGTCTGCAGAGCTTTTCTGAACTGGCAAAATACACTGAAACTAGGATTATTCAAAAAGGCTCTTCCAGGGCTACAAACAAGACATGAAAAAAAGTTTGAAACATTTGTGTGTCAGAGAGCTGGGGTGGGAGTAGCCAGGGAGCTGCTGGAATGAGTGCTCCTGCTCACAGAGTTACTGGATAAGGGAAGGATTTGCTCTGCAGCAGGAGCAGAGCAAGGGCTGCCCACTCCCCAGTGTCATGGGGAGAGTTTCTCCAGCAGTGTGGGAAAGGGGTGCTTTTGCGAGAATTCATGCAGCTTGAGCTCTCATTTAGCTTTTCAGTCTTTGTGAGCACCTGGGTTATGTTCAGAGGGTTTTCTCAGCAGCTCCCCTTAGGGCTAGAGATGTTGGGAAGGGAGACGTGCTGGTTTGTTTTTTTTAAGCCAACACTGTACATTTTTAGATGAAACTGTTTAACTTGATGAAATGAAGTTTTAAGAAGCACAATCAAATATCTAGGCTCAAGAGAGATCATGAACCTGGTGCACATGTTGTTTCATGTGTTGATTACAAAATAGCCTATGAAGATATGTCATATGAAAATCATGTGAGGGTCACACTGTAGTTATGTGAACAGATTTCTTATTGCTCATTTCAAAAGAGTTTCTGCTGTGACACCAAAGTCTCACCAATATGTTGAAAAGAAGCCCATATTTGTACATTCTGTGCAATGTAGCTGAAAAGCTTTGTACCTGAGTCATAATATTCCTTAGGAAGCTTTTCTTACTAGGCCATGGACCAGAAATCCTGATTTACTTTAAAGACAGTAAAACCTGAGCCTACTGCTGTTGCACAGAAAAATTTTCATTGCTCTGGAGGTGGTCACAAGGTTTCCATCAGAAAGGTACAACATTTATATCACCTTTCACAACAGTATATCTACACTCTCTACTGACACAGAAAAGCCTAGTGTGGGGAAGAGAGCTGGTGATTTTTTTCTGTGTATTTTAGTTGTAAGGTTTTGCTAGAGCTCTTTTTAAAAATGAAAATGCTGTACCATATATACATGAAGAACATGAGCTGATGCCAAGCTGTAACAGTCAAGCTATAGCAGTCATCTGGAATTGCCTGTTGGATTCCTGCTTGCAGTAAATTAATGTATGATGATTTTTATAACAAATTATGAAATGCCAAGTAATTATTAATTATTGGACACTTCTTATACAGTATTGCCTATCAATGAGTGACTCCATCTGGTCTGAAACTTTTGCAAATACTCTAATGCAAGACTGTTTAAAAGAGTAGGAAAGACTTCATAACATGGAAAGTAAAAGGATGGAAAAATAGAAAAGAACAACTATTTCCAACTTTTTAATTTGCTTGGTGCTAAGTTTCAGTGACATTCTTGTTAGACTTTTCGGAGTCCTGTAAGGGACCAGCCCTCCATGCAGAGCTGATTGCATGAAGTTGCTTGTGATGCAGACTGCCTGCCCATCTGTGTTCTTACCGACAGGTAGGTCCATCTGCTGTCCAAGAGGAGTGGACTAGCAATGAGATAAGAAATTGTTTTGCTCCCATCATCATCATTAACAGGCTTCTCTTAGACTTTCTGTGTTGAGGAAATGTAATTATAAATTTCTTGCTTTTTGTCATATTTCAGCATTTGCCCTCCAATAAGAGCAGGAGGGTTCCTTTGCTGGATATGTTAGCTGACCCCCCACATCCCATCTTAATTTCTTTCTAACAAGGCATTTCAAATGTAAAGTTGCAATTTAATTGCTGAGAGGCATTTGAGCATGCTTAGTGATACCAGAAACAAGGAACTTTGCTGATGTGCCTATTTGTTACCGTAGTAATTCCACTGTTCAAGTGGATGTGACCAGCTGGCCCAGCTTCATGCAAGAGTTGCTTATACTCAAAGCTATGAGGCTTCCGAGGTTCTTTGTGTAAATATTTTCCTTTCCAAATTGAAAAACAGGACTCCACATCTGAGTTGGATCTCTCAAACATCACTGAGTCAGTGTGGATGATTCCTCCACCTTTTGGGTTTCATTGTGATTTGTGTTTAATGATACACTTGTGGCTTTAGTTAAGAAAGGATTTTCCTTCAGTTACACATCTGCTATTGACAGGCAGCTAATCACAACAATTTGAAATCTTTGGGCCAGAAACACCATTGGTGTCATTTCAGTTGACGTGTACTGATTTCCTGAAGGCAGCTGAGGATGTGGCAAGATACACAGACCTGTCTTGCTACTTCTTTTACCTATCGATGGTTTGAGTGATCAGCTTCTACTGAAAGGCCATCCATTTTTTTTCTCTTGGACCATAGTAAATTTGTAGTCCCTTTTCCCTCTTTGTTGGTTTTTCCCTCTTCTTAATCATGTGTGATGTTTGGTTTGGTTTGGTTTTTTGCTTCCTGTTTGTGCGTGATCTGTTTTCTGAATCTTCCTCTTAATTCCCTGGTTTACTCATTTCTCTGTGCTTCCTGCAAAAAGTATTTTGTTTTTTATTCCTAGGTAACATCTGACCATCTCTTCTGTCCTTTTTGCTTGTCACCATATTCCTTGCCAGAGTCAGCACAATAAGAAACAATAAGAAACAAATGTCTTGCTTGTCAGTGCTTTTTCCACTTCCTGCTGTTCAGACTGCAAGGGTTAATTCTCACTCAAAATTCAGTCACAAGAACCCTAAAGAGGAATTTTTCACACTTGCCAAAACGTCCTTCCTCCATTAAAACTCCTTTTGAAATAAAATTATGAGATTTAAGTCTAACCTTGCCCAGGTGAGTAATCAAAAGAATTTTCTCTATTACTCCCCGGAAGTGCTTTTATTTTCTGCTGAACAAAACAAATTTCTTTCTTGCCAGCCTCCAGCTGTCTCAGAAGCAAATCACAGCAATTAACAGGTAAGACTGATATTCTGCAACTCGGTTGCCACTTGACTGCAGGATTTCATCAGCACTTAGCTGCTTTTTTCACTTCCTTGGGGTAGTGTTTCTGATGGTAATCACCTCATCTATCAATTACAGTGGGTGTCTTCTCAGCCAGGGTTGGGACTTTGCAAACTCTGGTCACTGTGAATAGTCACACTCACACCAAGAGAAGGTATTTCTGGTGTTTTAGCAGAGTAAGAAAAATGCAGAAATTTGGTATGGAGCATTTCTACCACCAAAAGAATGCCAGACAGAGGAAGAACTATATGGGGAAACATGTCCAGGGAATCAAGGAAACAGGGAAACACATAGGGATCAGGGAAATGGCAAGTTTACTTTTGAGTTGCCTATTGAGGTAACTTCCAACAACCCTGGCCTTTGCCCAGGACAAGCCACCCACTTAAAGTTTTCTGCATGTGATTTTTCATGCTGAAAAATGATCAGGAAGTCAGATGAGGCCAAGTGCAGCTCATTTAGATTTGTACAGCTAATTTAAATAAACTCAGTGGTTGTCTGTATGCCAGAAGAAAAAATAATTTTATTTCATGGTAGTTTTGTGTCAATAGGACTGATATTTTTCCAAGTTCTATTTGCACAGAGCTGTCTCAGCTGTCCTGAGCACCTGTGGCCACCTTTACCCTCACAGCAGACAGGAGCTCACAGTCCCTAAGAAACTCATTGGTTCAGTTTGTGGCTTGAAGGTAAGATGACATATTCCAAGGAAAGATCCAGACTTTCAGCAGATGCAACTAGTGAGTAATAGCTATTCTAGAACCTATCATGCACGAATCCTGGCTTTCTGCTAGAAGTAACTGTTTTTATGTATATATTTTTTGTTTGAATCCTTGGCACCCAGGGACTGACTGGATTCTGTCATATCCCAGAAAGCAAGAAGAAAAGGCAGAATTTAGCAGTTTTCTCTCACTAACAAACCATGCTTTTGTTGATTTATTGTTTATTTTGCTTCTACTTTAAAATGTGGTGCTTAAGAACTGTATTTTAATTGCAAATGAAAGAAACATAGCCTTCTTGCTTCCGTGGGATGAATGCCTGCCTTCCAAGAATGACTGAGAGGAAAAGGCTCTTTTGGCTTTCCCCTCAGAAACCCTGGGGAAGATGAGGAGCATGGACGAGCTCAGTAATGCCGGGGCTCCGTTGGGCGGATGGCGGGTGTTGTGACTCAGCCAGCGTGGGAGGCTCCCTGGCAGCGGCGCTGTGGCTGTGTGGGTGGTGGAGAGGAGGCTTGTGAGAGTGCCGCGCTGTGTGGGATCATCCTGCAACAGTTCCTCTGAGCTGGGGTGTCTCAAGGAGCCATTAAAAGCAGGCTGGGATCACTACCCTTTGTACAGGATTTCTCCCTTCCCTTCTCTGGGATCCGTGTTTGTTGTCATAGTGAGGGGACATAGCTCAGACAGCAAATGCTTGCTTTTATTTGACAGAAGTCTAAACAAAAATAAGGGCAGAACAGTCCTGCATAGTCCTAGAGAGAACCCTTCTCTGCTTTCAGTGCTTGCCTCTCATCCAGTGAAAATTCATGCTGTTGCACAGAACCGTGCCCAGGATGGCACACTGCAACCTGCCTTGGGGAACCACACTCAGGACTGGAGCTATTGGGACATAACAGAAAGAGGGACAAAGAGGGACAAAAAGAAGATACAGGAATAGAGGGAAGGTAGTTCATTTCTGGGATGAGAAGTGTAAATGGTGCGTGAAGAAAGAGAAAGAGAGTTCAAGAAGTGTTTGGACAACACTCGCAGGTACGTGGTGAGATTTTTGGTGTGTCCTGAGCAGGGCCAGGAGTTGGAATCGATGATCCCGGTCGGTCCCTTCCAACTCAGCATGTTCTATGGTTCTATGATACCTGTACTGCTCACAATAGCCACAATAGCATGCTATGACCTCTCCGAGGCAGAGGAGAGCAATCTCGTAGCCAGGGAGAAAGGACAGGTTTCTCCCAGGACTTGAGCTAACAGTGCTGCATTTGTGGACCTCTGGGGTGCTCTAACATAGAGCTTGTCTGTGGTACCAGCATATCCTAGGGGTCTAAGAAAAAGCTTGTGTTTGATTCATGTGCCCTGCACATCAGCAACTAGGTTTTCCTGTCTACCAAGATATTTCTACACAGTTTTTAATCTAAATACCAGTAGATATGCATATTATCATATGTTCTTACACAGAGAAAGACTCAGAGGTGGGCTTTTGCTCACCTCTGTTAAATGACCGTCTTTATGACAGTGCCTTAAAGGGAAGCCCTTCAAGGAGAAAGAATAAGAGTGCTAGTAAGAAGAAACTCAGTCAAATATCTCCTAAAAAGGAAAACAAACATCCAGGTACAGAAGGCATTGATCATGCTTCCTGTGTGATCAATGGGAGTTTTGCCAATGACACAAATGGGAGTGAATTGGCAGGAAAGAGAATGGGAAATATTTGTGGAGAAGTGCATCAGCTTTGCATGTGTAGAAGAAAAAGCAGCTGCATTAGCAACTGTCCCATTAGAGGGTACTCAGGGGAATCAAGATTCATTGCTTCTATCTTCCAGGCATTAACTGTACATTTTTACTCTAACTTCCAATTAGAAGATTTAATTGGACCGAGTCCCTTTACCCCCTTCCTTGTATGCAATCTAATAGGCTCAAGACAGAAGTTAAGTTTAGAAGAAATGAGAGAAGTCTCACACAGTAGAGTGTATGAGGGTGTTCTTTCTTCAGAGACTGAGATTACTGCAATCCCTCCCCAGCAAGTGCTCCCCAACAAGGGCAGACCAAGAAGTGACAGTGTTGTCAGTGTCTCCAGCTTGACATGCATTTAAACATGACCTTCTCTGCTGCACATACAGCAGACAAGGGGTATCAGCCCTCAGCCATCTCACTCTACCACATCTTTGTCATTACCAAATGACAAAATTTTATGAAGATATACCAAGTACAATGGGTGGGACATTAAACACAATTTGCAAATTTGGAGGCCCCTTCTGAAAACAGGATCTCTGATGGTAAAAGTTTGTGTGGGAAGATATAGCAGTGTAAGTGGGAATAGTCCATGATTTCTTGGGTTGGCAAGTAAATAGTGAGTGCTCTTGAGGATACTCCAGAGTGCTGATTCCCTGCAGGACCTAAAACTGATCCCTTGAAAGAGTGGATTGGCAATCGCAGCTGAAAGCAAAACTTACCAGAACACCAGATACTGTGTTAGATTTAAGCTTTCTGGATTACCAGAAAGTTTTTCTGATTAAATAGAAGCATAGTCAATGACTCTACTAATCAACTAGATTTCCATATGTGATGTTATCCTCTTCATTAACCAGATTTGTTCCTTCATCTCAGTTCTCTAAAATACCAGCTTTGCTGAACTACTAATTCTTACTTTCCAACAACCAGTTATGAAAAACTGTGGTTTTGAAAATATTGCTCTTCTGTGAGCAGTCTCAGCCTTCTGCAGTAATGATATCCTAAAATACTCCTGGAGAAAAATGTCTACCCTTTATTACAGAACCAGATGCTCCTTTCAGTAGTAAAGGGACAGTTACTTGCATGGCACCCTTCTTTATTAGTGACATGGAAAAATTAAGCAATACTAAAATATGGTTACAGCAAAGATGTCTTCTGATATGTAATTTTTCCCCTCTTTTATGTAAAGAGCATATTTGTTTTTTACATGAAATACATTCTGAATATAGGAAAAGAAATTGTTGCACCAGAAAATAATGCAGAGACACAAAACAGAATAATATGAAGAACTTGGTAACCAAAGGACTAAAACAGATTAGGTAATAAAATGGGGTAAAATGTAATTGCACTTAAGGGAGAGTGATGTAATCTTTTAAGGTAAACTGGGAATTCATAGGTTTGAAATGAAAAAGGAGAAGAAAACTGGAGTGTGTCACTCAATGACAGTGGTTGTAAGCAATAATTGTCATGCAATTGTGAAAAACACAAATTTGATACTAGCATATGAAGCATTTGCAGAAAAAAAAAAGAGAAAAGTATAAAAGTCGTTGTACAATATAGATTATTGGAAACAGTTCTGGCTATCTGTGTGCTAGAAACATGAATTAAAATTAGAATTGGTGGAGGGAGTGAGGATGGCCAGAGGAATAGAGATCACAACAGTTGGTTGGTACAGCTTAGCAGACGGGCTGGGTGGAAACTGGGAGAACATATGATTGTGCTCTATAAATGTGTAAAGGACATATGTAGTCAGAGTAAGACAAGCTATATAAGCAAAAGAATCGTATAAGCACAGAACAAATAAATACATATCTTAAGAGGGGAAAATAGGAGAAGCGTGTTTCCAATTGCTGATAAGGTTCTGGAACAGCCTCACACAAGAGGTGGTTTCAGCAGTCTGAACACGGTGAGTTTATGAGAAGTGCCTGAAGTTGCAGAATAAAGGACACAAGACTTATTTTCCTATTCCAGTTCATAAACTGTGTTTCCTCACTTTCACATACAAGTCAGCAAAGAAGAGACAACAAAGACTTACAAAAGGACAGGAACTTCCAACCAGCAGTCCAGCGAGACGAACAGCCACAGCCAGCTAACCATGTGAATGACCATTGCAATGGCTTTTCTTCAGACAGCCTATAAAGAGTCACCGTCTGACACCAGGGAGTAAACTGTGTGAATCACTGTCTTCCAGTTAAATGTCAACACTGCTGCAGTATCTCAGACAGCCACTTATAGGAGGGATCCTTGGTTGGGGCCCAGCAGCAGAAGTCTGTGCAGCAAAAAACAGACAGAGGGTCCTCCCTTTGCTATACACACCAAAATGCTGCAAATGCAACATTCAGTTGCTAATGTGACAAATGTCAAATTCAAACTGTGTTTAACTGATTCAAGCTTATTATGGAAAGTTTCTAGTCAAGGCAGCAAGTCCCTCTCTGGAACAATTTCTGTTACAGAAGAATCTATGAACTAAAGGGTCGGGGACAGAAGTAATAAAAAATTATTGGTTTATAATAAAAGAATCAAAATGTTTGCATTGGCTCTCCTATTGGCTCTCTGAATAATCATTCCTACCCTAAAACAGGTAATTATTTTCTTTTGTGTCCATTAAAACCACCCTTTCTGGTCTTGCATCACAGATTTTCAATTCTGATTAAGCTTCAAGCACAATTTTCTGTCAGGAATTGGACTTTCTCAGAACAAAGCAGTTTTCTACTGTGCACTGTAACTATGTTCTCCATGGCTGAGTAGCAAAAGCTGCAATTCACCCCCAGCACCCAGTTATGCATAGTATGTGGGGAAAAGCAGTAAATTAAAATGACAGAATTGTCCTCAGACTCTGAATATTATACTAAGCATGCTTTGGCATCTTATATTTAGAGTGAGCTATTTTATGCTCATTTCCTCTTGATACAGTTTAGTTAATAGCTAAATTCAGTCACAAAACCACTTGTAAATAAGCACCTTGTTACAGATTACAGTGTTCTCAATCCTCATGGCTCTTCGACCCAGTCTATCAGCCAATAAAATCTACCAATACAGTATATAATTTCTGTCACGTTTGAGTGTTTTTATACATTAATGGAGCAGCTTGTAATTTCACCATATAGGCTATGCACTCCTGGATATACAGGATATATGAGATAAATAAGCTGTCCAAAGAAGACATTTGTATTGGATGTTCACTGTTGGTTTCTTCCCATACTGCCCTCAGATGCAGAAGCTGCCCTGGGAAATGAATGTGCCAGGATAAGTTATCTGGGGCTCATAAAATCTTTTTTAGAAGATTGAAATAAAGTCAGTGCTTGCAGAAGACAAATCAATTGTGACATTTCTGAATAGAGTGCGATGCATTTAATTAGCACAAGACATACTGGCAAATGCTGAATTACCCAATAAATCACTGAATGCTGGAACCCATACAGAGCCAGGAATCAGCTGTCTTGAGAGATGTACAGCAAGTGATAATAGGAAGATCTGGCCATTTCTCCTCCATTTTCTGCTAAATTTCTTCCATTTTGACATTTGCATGCCAGACCATTTTAATTATTTTAAAGTATGAAAGAATTTCTCCAGCCTAATCTGAGAAATCTGTGCCATTATCTGCATCTGCTGAAGAATTAAACACATATCTTACAATATGCTACAGTTCTGCTATTCAGTTCAAGGCAAATAATGGGATTTTAGCATCTAGGAATAAAAGTATTTATAAGAAAATGTGCAAAGCTAGTCCTAAGGGAAAGCATCATAGGACAGGCCTTGTAGTGACCACTGACATTGGCCTTGATGTGTCAGGGTCTCCCTGTGTGATGAGCAGAAGGGGCTTCAGGCTTTTTGCGTCAGGGAGAAAGGGGAACGGTGCTTCAAGGTTTACATGTGCAGCTGTGCTGGAGATTCCTGGCCAGCAGCTCTCTCTACTCTACAGCAGAGTTATGATCACGTCTGTATACATGTAGGCAGAAGTGTTGTCCTTAATGCACAGTCCCCATGCACTCGGTATGCCCTAGCAGAGCTGCTGATATGCCTGGTATGTGACGGGAGTAGTTTGATAATAACTTTTATTAACGCATAAGAAATCTTTCCAAGTGTTTACTATGCTCTCACCACCTTGCTACCAGAACTCCTCCCTTTTATCTTACTTCTCTGTACTCCACTTCTAAACATTACAAAAAATTTGGAAGCTAGGTGTGGTTTTCCAAAGACTTGGGCACCTAAGGTACTTCAGAAACAAGGAAAAAAAACCCAAACAAATAAATTGTAAGATCCTAAGCTATATACATGCTTTACATCAGATTCTTGTTTGCTTGTTGCTATAAAGCTTAATCACAGCTTAAAAATACGGTTGTTTAATGGGGAATGATTTTGCTGTTTCAAAACACTTAGCCTCAGGCTAGACTGAGCTGTCTTCAGGAATAAGATACAAAAGACATACACAACTGTACTGCTGATTTTGTGCCTATAGTGAAAGAAAACTGCATATGCAACTACAGCCATGGGATAAATATTTTGCACTCATTAGAATGTCTGTGATTTTTAAAATTTGGCATTTCATGATATCCAGCCATGCAGGAGTGGCCTACAGTCCCTGCCTAGCATCCTTCATTAGGCAAAAGACCAGAACATAGCCTCTTCTCAAGAAGAAATACAATTGCTTTGGGTGTTGTTGGTATTTGATATTTATTTAAATCTGTGTTTATCACTGTGTTTATCAGTATAAAATAAATATAAATTTAGCTTCATTGCCTAATTTCTCTATTTCTCCTGGCTGAATATGTTCAATTCAACATTGTGAATATTTTATAACTCATCCTTCTTCTGTAGAGAGTTTATTTTATTGTCAGTTTTACATGGTCTTGTGTTTGTGTTCAACCTAGTTGATATCACTTCCCTGTGACAGATGATCTAAACCACTCTACCAATCTTAGAAATTATAGGTACAACTCAGATGACACTTTTGTCTTCTCCTTATCCTCAGGGAATCAGTAGGGTGTCCATTGGTGCTGGTTGAGGTTGCCCAGGAGTAGAATTGGAAAAAAATAGACTGAGTGGTTTCTAACTTTTGTTTCTGTCCTGTTTATATAACATCAGCAACCTCCAGCTTTTGAAACTGATTTAAATTGTTAAGAGTAATTAGTCTTTGAAATAATTGTTGTAAATAATGATAATTAGCAAATATGTACAATTATTCTTATTTGGGGAAAATTGAAACAGAGGAAATTAGGAGACCTTAAAATAATATCCTAGTAATTTAAAAATCAGAAAATCAAGATCAAAGCAGCAGTCTGGTAGATGGGTAAAGATGAAAGTGGCGAAATCCTCCTATACCCTCTCTACCCTCTTGTGCCTAATCCTATAGAAGGCTGATTTCCCTCAAGCTCCAGAAGCTGCAAGGTTTCCTCTTGCTCTGAATTTCACTAGTTCTCTTGAATGTTAGGGTCTTTTAAGGCAATGAAGCACATTGATTCCTCAATTAGCCATGGAGCAATACACTGCCTTCCCTTTCCTGTAATCTCTGCTTTATCTGTTTATGAAGGCCACGGAAACAGGTGTCATTTACATTCCTCTGGTTCTCTGTGTCTTTCCTTAAGTTCAGAGCAGTAGAACAACAAAACAACAAAACAGAGATGTGAGTCCTTTTTATTATCTATAAAGATGATTATATCATCGCTTACTGAGGTATTAAAGTTTTTATCATAAACAGTCTGCCAAAGGCCAAGGACCTAGAAACCCATTACTGTACTCTTCTCTGAGTGTGCTTACAAAACAATGTTTTCCGTAAAGAAATAAATGGTTAGAAATTCTTAAGCTTCTTAAAATGGAAGTATGTGTGAATTAATGTGTTTAAACTAGTTGATATATATAACATATTAACAGAGGGATTTCCAGCTTGAGATATTGCTCGGGTTGGGATCGTCCAGATAAGGGATGCTACTTTTCAAGCACATCCTCCTCTATCTGTCTTCCAAACAGTGACTGTTATGTTGTGTCCCATAGATCTTTATACTGGGATGAAAAAATATATCCATGCACACTGATTCCTTAGTCACCAGCATAGACAAAATCGGAGCTTCCGTCCCAACTCCCCAGCCTTTTGCTTCCATTGTAATGCTGCATTATTTCATCGGTAGACACTGTTTCAATTATTTTTTAAAGCTGACTGCAAACAAGCACCTGGCTAAAACCTTTGTGAGCCTCTGTGCCTAAAACTACCCATGCAGAATTACACAGAGCACTGTCAAAGCAAGCATAACACCCAGCAAGACCACATCCCTCTTCATCCCCTTCATTCCCCACTGCAGTGCATATTGGAGAGGTGACCCAGTATATCCCACTGGGGACCAGTGCCGAAGGTGCTCTGAGAGGGAAAGGGCTTTTGATGTTAGTGCTTCTCGAATCCTTCCTCCCAGCTCTCAGGCCCCAGGGCTTTCAGATCAAAGCTGAGGCATTACTGCAGAGAGCAGAACGGTTTGCCAAAAAGAGAAAGGAAAGTCTGCCAAAAAGAAAGCTCACTGAGCTTTGGGGTGTGTATTAGAAACGTCACCTTTGGTTCTCACTGGAGCTCAGGAGCCCATGCAGACCTGCTTGCCATGGGAGCACCACCTGTCCCCCTCCCAGTTTTTCCTAGGGCTCCTGCAGCCTGGCCTTAAGAACAGGGAAGCTACCCCATCCCAGAAAGGGAATCAGCTTCTGATCCTGATAAAACTCAGACACAGGACAACAGACATCTCTGTTGAGCATTTTATATCACTTTGACTTAAAAATTCATAGTTCTGAGATAAGCTATTTGCTACAGAATTTAGACTGCTATCTTGGAGTAGCCAAAAAAGAATTTTTTTGCCCCTTCCTACTAAATCCTGGTAAACTTCTTGTCCTAATTGTATTACTATTCTGTTCCTCTCCTCCCTGTCACTAAGTTACTGCTTTTTTCTTTTGTGTTGTTTTGAGTCCCCATCATGATGCTGGTAGTCCCCAGTAGGGTGTCAGAAGCACCCAGATCATTTTGTGCATCCTTATGTTTGTGTCAGTGCCATTAGTAAAAATTTTAAGCATGCTACAAGACTTGTGTTTTGGGAGTTCCACCAGTAACTTTCCTGTTTCTTTTTCCTTTGCCAACGCAGTCGGTTTCTGAGCAAATTTATGATTTTTACACTAACAGTGATCACTTCAGTAACAGCTTAACTTTTCTCATATGGCACCATACGTAGATTATCTTAAATTTAGATAAATGAAATTTAGGACAGATCATCAGCAATTACCATACAACTCCTCAAAATATCAGGATAGTTTGGCTTTATCTATTCTGGAAAAAAAAGTATTTCCATCTCATTTCCTGTATGTTTCTATATCTTTCACTTTTTTTCCCTTAAGAATTCTTTCTCAAGTCTTGTATACTGTTGATGACCCCCATAATTATAGATTTTCAATTAATTGATTTTTGATATGTAGCACATCACTTCCCCGAATAGTTCACTTGAGACCCTTCATGGAGAAATTCCAGTCCTTTCTTACTTTTGCATAGGGATTTGGCTTCCACTTTAAATGTGCTATTTTCTATCTCCCATCTTTCGCTGGTGCCAGTGAGACTTGAATCTGGCCTTTTGTTGGAAGCAGCAAGCGACAGCGTGTACACAAAGCTGGGAATGCAGAGAGGGGCAGATGGGATTTCAGAGGCTGTTTTTGATAATTTGTCCTTACACATTTGTCCTAGTACACATGAGGCATAATAGTAAGCAAAAGAAGGGAAAATTAATCATCTTGCTAATGGACAATTTGTCTCCTGGATGGTCCCTAATGAGGGGGGTCCCTCACAGGCTGTTGTCTTTGTAGAGCTCAAGCCCCATGAGGCACTGTATGTATTTTGCTCTGTAATGCAGAGTTTACCTGCTGCATTTGCCTTTTAGAGAAGCTGATTGTGAACTTCACTGAGTTTTTTCTGGATCATAGATGTCTGACCTACCTGAGTCAGGGAAACTGCCTGGTATCTGTACAGGCTGGGGGATGAAGGAATCAAGAGCAGCCTTGCTGAGAAGGACTTGGGGGTGCTGCTGAATGAGAGGCTGGACATGAGCTGGCAATGTGCGCTT